TACTACTACTACTACTGCTACTATGATGATGATGATGATGATTATGATATCACCCACGAAGACAACGATGATGCCGACGACGACGACGAGTCCGTCCTGTTTTGGCTCCTAGCCAAAAGGCTTGTGGTGATTGGGATTCAGCTCTGGCAAAAATTTGCAGGCTGCACTATGCGCATTCATGTTACTCTAGAGCTTCTACTTGCATCAGCTCAGTTCTTGCCACACCCAAAAGGCGTATGTCCTTGTTCGTCCTGCTCGGCTCAAGAAGGCAAGCTTGGCTTACATGGTGCCCGAGCCAGCTGCTGATACGCTATCGGCGACGCCGCCGGCAGCAGCATAAGCATCTGACGCAGCACCTCAAGACGCCCCCAGCTTGCCCAGGATGCCAACATGTCCGACCGAAACTAGGACCGTGCTCTCATACTCCGGTCGAATGACTCACTTGTATCGGACCTTGAGCTCAGAAACTCTCATTTTGCCATTCCGCCCCGGCATCCTTGCCTTTCTCTGCGCGGCTGGGCTTGCAGCCCATGGGGAGCACCACCACAGGAAACACTGATCTGGGTAATGCTTTGCAGGTGCATGACCGTCTCGAAGCAATGACAGTTGCAAGTGGAGCATACCCTAAAGCCTGAGGAACCAAAGTACCACATGAGATAAAGAAGCCAAGCTTAGAGTTTTCCGAGTTGTTGAAACTGAGGCTTGGCTGGCTTCAAGTACTGCAGTGATGCGGCTGTCTGTTCTCACCTTCCTACACGCCACGGCTCAGCTGTGGTTGCTGTCGTAGCCACGGAAGGCCGCTCATCCACAGTAGAAAATGTCTCAACACAACTTCTGAAGCATCTAGCACCTGGCACAGTTGCAACTACGTGATACTGCTCGCTAAAGTTCGCTATCATCGGCAACAAGCCTACTACTTAAAGATACCAGTACCAGCAACATAGCTGCCGTAGAAGGTGTGACGGTGCGTCATGATCGATCGATGAAGTCGATGTCGCACAGCACGATGTCTGCTCTTCGTGGCAAATGCAGGGGGAAGGTTCCAATGCTAGGGGCTCAGGCAATTCTAGCAAAAGACTGCTTCTAGAAACAAGAATCGCGGCAACCGCTGATACTAACAATGATGGTAGTAGCGGCAATGATAGGGGACAAACTGTAGTGAAGGCGGCCAGTGCCAAAATGTCATCGTACCAGTCGCTGTCGGCGGCGTCGTCATCACAGCAGAAGCAGCAACAGAATTTAAGCACTGAATTCTCGAGTAACTACAATAGAATAGAAGTGTAAGCCCAAAGTACTACGCTAACCCTACAACAACCACAAAACTCCTACAACAACCACAAAACTAAGCCCCTGAAGTAGCAACAATGCTGGCCTGGCACTGCAGCAACAACCATACTATCAAAACCTTGAAGTCGAAATAGTTGGAGCCTAGCTTCAAAGTAACAGCCATGATGTATATCCCTGAAAGACACACCCTCTCCTCGAATCAGGAGTGAGTATAATCACAATCCTGATTCAGGCCTTCAAAGTATTGATCGAGGGGCCTACAATACAAAACCTTCTAGAACCCTCAGGTCTGACGAAGTCTGTTGGCAAACTGTCAAGCCGAAATCCCAGGGCCCTGAACGCCCGTTTAGAAACCCTCTCAGGCCCATCTAACAAACACTAAAACAAACCAAAAAAAACTATAACAAAGCCCCATACATTGACCCTTCCAAAAACACCGACAAAATCCCTATAGCCAAGCCGCATAAAGCCCGACAATGAACACCGTAAAATCCTTGTGCGAATCCTTTCAAACCCTACATACCCCTGATACCACGGACAGCAAGCCCTATACAATCAAATAAGACCTCATCCCCTTATAAATTACAGCAAACCCGATGCAATCCCACAAAAACCCTTTCGAACCTCATAGCTACCCTTAGTTATCAGAAGCCTTGCAGACCTCGTCTTGACACCGGCCATGTACGAAACCCTAAACCCTAAGATCTGGGGGCGCTCTGGCACCAGTGTGAACTCGTGGAAGGTCACCGCGGCCTTGAAGTCCTCCAGACAGGAACTAGTGGGCTGTGGTGGGGGCGGGCTGATTTTGAAGGGGTGTTCTACGGTGTTCTATGTGGTTGTTTAGGGTGTGATAGGGTTCCTAGAAGGTTCCTTGAGGAGTTTACCGGTGCTATCGGGGTCCCGCAATTTTCAATGATAGCACCCTGAACCCCGCATAGGACACTCCTATGGCTGTAAGAGGATTCCTCCAAGGGATTCTATAAAGGTTACCGCAAGGGGTCTGGAAGTGTGTTGCAGTTTGGGGTTTGGACTGTTTGGCATTATGGGCTTTTCAGGTTTACAGGTCTCTCAACGGCGTTCCTTTGACATTCTGGGATAGTACGGCGTGTAAGGGTTGGGGGAGGGAAACTTCAGGATCCTATCTAGCAGGTTTGGGGTTTAGGGCTTCACTACACAGCCTCAGCAAGGACACTAAGTATACTAAGGAACCCTAGCAGACAGTATTGCTAGTTACTAGTTATTCAGGCTTCTGTATCCGGGTACTTCTCTTCACCTCCCTTCCCATGTGCCAGGCAACTGCAATTAAAGGAATTTCAAGGGCAAAGCAATGGCTGCGGAATCCGTATGCCGACAAGCAACGCCAGACTCGAATTTTCCAGTACAGACCACGGTATCTTTGACGATTAGCCAGCCCACTTGCCTGATGCTTGAAGTGATCGCTGGTGGAGGACCTCACCACTGGAAGCCGTGAAGCTTTATAGTTTAAGCGTCAGGGCATTCGGGCTTAGGACATTTGGTAAGGTCTTGGCAGGTCCTACACCTCGAAAGGCTTACTCCCAAACTCAGAACGAATCGAGTGATCAACACCACAAAATGTGTGATTCTTAGTCAGGTGCATATTACATGCGATGTTCTTGGGATCCTGAATCTTTGAGAGGCCGTTCAAGCTAATCCAGAAAAATCTCCAAACCCGCCTGAACTGGGGAGACTGTACAGAGTTCCCGTGCTACCCCTATAGAATCCTGCTAGGAATCCTTTACAAGGAACCCGTTGTGTACTAAGCCCTTTTGAGTCGAAGGGCCAGTCCGCGTCCAGTTCCTGCTTCTCGGAATCGGTCACATCCGAGACGGTGTCGGCCTGGCACAACTGAAGAATAAAGATGCT